GATTTTTATGTCAATAAAATTTAAGGATAAGATTATTTTATTTTTATTAAAAATAATAAGTCCTAATCACAACTTTTGCTTAAGGAATAATAACTTTTATTCTATAAATTGTAAAAGTTGAATAAAAAATCACAACTTGTTTAAGTGTAATTATTGTTATTAAAAATAAGTCCAAATCACTAATCTTGCTTAATGAATAATAATTTTTGTTTTGTAAATTACAAGATTGAATAAGAAATCATAACTTGTCTAGTGTAATTTCAATTATTGAAAAATAAGTTCCTCATGATAACAAACCCCATTCACAATTTTTTGTTTAAAGAATTATAAAAATTGAATAAAGAATTATAACTTATTAAATAAGAGTAAAAAGAATCTTTTTTAATTTTAATTTTACTAACACAAAAGCTCCTAAAAACTTCAGTAAATTATTACATTTTAAAAAATAAATTAACATTTATATAATTTATTTGGAGGTATTTATTGTCTTTTTCCTGGTAACAACTAACAACCTATAACATCTATCATATTCCTTCCTATTTTGATGCTTCTTTTTCTCATTGGGAAGAGCGGAAGGAGATTTAAAGTATTATTAATTTATTAATCATTAATTTATGGAAATAGACACTGTTAAGATTAACGGCATCTCAACTATTTTCTAATCCAACCAACCACATGGGATACTCAGAATCATCTGTTTTAAAAGAATGGTTATCCTCATAACACAATCATCACTTGTATGAAAAATGAAAGTGATTGGTGAATAAAATTTAAATATTTGAAACAATTATTATATGAAAGTTGCTAATTGATTTTAAATTAATATCTTTAGATGGTGAGAGAAAATCAAATATAAATGATAAAGAATTTTTGAATATCTTTTCATTTAATAAACGGGGGAAAAAAGAAGGCGGGTTTTGATGTAACTTTCATCCGTTCTCTTGATTCCAAAGGGAAAATGTTTACACTTACAAGTTGTGATTTTTTATTCAACTTTTACAATTTTTGATAGAATAAAGTTATTATTCCTTAAGCAAAAGTTGTGATTAGGACTTATTATTTTTAATAAAAATAAAATAATCTTATCACTTTAAATTTTATTGACATAAAAATCTTTAAAGAATTTAAAAAAATTATTATATTTTAAAAGATTAAATTATTATTTATAAAAGTAGGGAGCTTTTATTATTATTTTTCTTTTTTATTATGTCTAGTGGAAATGACGCGTTTATTCTTCCCTCACTCACATCATCCTCTTCGCTGTTCACCCCTTGCCCTATCACACATTTATAATTTTTTAATCTTTTCATATTTTTTTTATTTTAGCAACATAAAAGGAATCAGCGCTTTTATTCTTCTTTTTCTTGTGCGTTCTATCTTTACTTTTGGATTTTTCTTCTCCTTTTTAACCAGGAAAGTATTAATTCTTTCATCTTCAAGCTTCACTGGGCAAAAAATAATTATGAAAAATTGGGGATAATATTTAATTTTGGATAAGTTTATTTTTTTCATAACAATGATTGAGTATATTTGATACTACTAATTTCCATTTGGGCTCGGCTCTAACAAGGAAAACTCATACATATACTTTTTTTTTTGAATAAACTAAAGATATCTATTGGCAGTAGTAGGGACTAATCTCCTTGTCATGGTTTTCTCACAAAAGATAAACAATTGGTTATGGAGTGCTCTCTATTTGCATGAGTGAGGAAACAAATCCTCCACTACATGTTTAACGGATGAAGTGAGATAATCACTACGCCACACTCATATGGTCTCTTCCCTTTAATTTTTAAAAATGATGCAATCTAATTTTTATTGTTAATAAAAATTAATTTTGACTATTAATTGACCATAAAATAAAAAAAACCTAAAAATTACCAAAAAACACCAATAAAATTTTGTTGATCATTTTTTACTTATAAGGTTTAAACTTGAAATTTTGCTTAATGAGTATTAATTGCTTGATCATCACTTAACCCTCTTGTCGTTGGAAATAAATTTAGTGCTGCAATTTGTAGATTTGCTACTATACCAAGTTAAGATATTACATTTTTTTAATTAATGCTACATTGATATTAATATCACATGCCTTAATTTTAAACATAGAATATGAATATTAATAAAAATGAAACTAATTCTACTAACAATAGTTTAAATCGATAAAAAAGACTTGATACCTTTTTAGTAAGATAATGGATTCAGACTTGCATGGATGAACAATATTATATTACATTAAGAGAATTACACTTATTTAGACTTAACATACTCAATTTGGATTAATCTATAGTATGTAGCAAATTACTGTATAGCTATAATGAAAAGACATTAGTTTGTTTGCAATTTGAAGAGAATGTACTCATTAAACTTCCAATTCCAGAGGAATTACACAATTATTCGATGGGGATAGAATATTTATGTCCTTTAATTAAAAAAAATTAAAGAGTATGCACGTTTTGCTTATAAATGGCTACTTTTGTCCAATTCTACTTTTTGGAGAATGGATTGCTGATCATAAAGCCTTTTCTTTTATGCATTCATGCGTTTGGAGGGAAAATAATATAAGATAAAATGACTGAAATGTGTGTATATATTTACCGTTAAGCAATGTTTGATACCTGAAACGTACTTTTTTTAAAAAAATTAAAATATATTTTTATTCTTTAACTTTATATAATGTTTCATTTCAATTCTTTAATTTTATAAAGTCTACTTTCAATCCTTTAATCCTAACACTATTAGTTTTATCACAAAAAATTTTTAAATTAAACTTTTAAATATTGACAAAATATTATCAAATTTTGACTTATTGAGTTTAATTTTTTTAAAATAATAATGAGTGTTACAAAAATAATCATTTAAAACTAATGATATGAAGGTTAAATGACTAAAAATATACTTTATAAAATTAAAAAATCAATTAAAACTGATCAAAACTATATTTTATCTTTTTAAAAAAGAAATAAAAAATGTATCTAGAAAAAAATGAAATAAATACATTTTATATTACCTTTTTAGAAAACATTTTCCACTCCCAAATTAAACATTATATTAGTATCTGTTTGGTTGTTGAAAAAAATGAATGAAATAAAAGTTGATAGAAATAAAATAAATTAAAATAAAGTTATGATAGAGATGTGTTGATGCATGGGAGAGCGAAGGAGCGCCCCTGAGTGATGAAGATATGTGAATGATGGTTGACGTGAATATACTTAATTACCCTTTTGATTTTTGAGTGAGCTTGAAAACTAAAGACAAGGACCAAACGAATTAATTCTGTTTTTTTTTTTTTTTCAAAAGCCGGGAATGAGCTGTGTCTTTTTTGTCTCTAGAAGGATCACTGTAATAATAAGTATTTTTTTATTTTATTTATAAATTATTTTTAATATGTTTTACCCAAATAAAAAAATATTGAAACTCATTAACTCTATATTAAAATTTAACAAGTTTTTAAATTTGCTCACATTAAATGTATATACTTTAATAATATATTTTCTTTCTCTAATATTTAATGGAAGATAGAAGAGAAAATTTGTATTAAAAATTTATTGAAGTAACTTATAAACATGATAAAAAATATTTTCTCTTTTTTTATAAGATAAAGAGAAAATATTTATAAGACAAAAAATATTTTTTATTTATCTTATAAATAAGATTAAAGAGAGTAAATTTTAACTATTCCAAAAGTAACAAGGAGAGACATTATTGCTAGCTCATAAATAGTTGTCAAACAAACCCCCCTACAATGTATTATCAATTCCAAAAGGAATAGATTTTTAAAAAATTGACAATAAAATTTCAAAACTTGAAATTTATAATAGTTAAGTCCGAACAATTTTTTTAAAATAAATTATAAATATTAATTCAAACAATTATAAAAATAAATTTTAATTATAAATTAAGAGTATATTATTTAAAATCTAAATGTCTTATTTGTAGTTAAAGGTTCTGAATTTATCACTATCTAAATCAATATTTATAACTAATTTTTTTTAAAAAAATTGTCAAAACGTAACTGCTATAAATTCATTATTTTGAAAATTTAATATCATTCTCCCTAGATCCTTTTAGGATATACACATACATACATACATACATACATACATACATACATACATACATACATACATATATATATATATATATAAACATTAGCTTCCTACAAGTCACACTATTTTTTAAGTGTGAAACTTTTAAATCAGCTTTGGTCTTCTTTTATTTTATATTGTTACCATTTAAACACACATTCATTCATTTCTTACTTTTCATCTATTTGAATTTAATTTTTTTTATCTTGTATTCATCAAACACTTAGTATGCTTTCATAAAAAAGCATCTCACATATTATTACTTAAAGGAGTAGTCTATATTATAAGATCAAACTAAGCAAACAGCTCAATATTTATTATATTTTATATTATAATCAATTTATTATATTTTTTTAACTGTTGTGTAGTAATAATAAACTCTTAAATTTTTAATGACAAACTATTTGTATGTCAATAATTTCCAACCAGCAAAAAAAAATTATCAGCTCTTTATAAAATTTATAAAAAATATTCAAAAATTATGAAAAATTACAAATGCATGGTCATGGCATCATAATAATATCTTTATTTATGTAAAATAAAAGAATACTTCCTTCAATCTCAAATACAAGTACATGATTCTTTTATAAGTCACCTCATATAAAAAATGTGGATCATTAATTATCTTCTTCAATTTTACTCCTTTACAATTTTCCACAAGTAAAGAGTAAATAATTATATGTGAGAAAAAATGTTTTCAATGGTGATACATTTAAAAATAAATTGAATTTTTTTAAATAGCACCAATAATTTAATTAACGTTGAAGAAATAATTAAAAATGAATTATATATAAGGTAGAAAAGAATATAAATTATATATATATATATATATATAAAGTTTTCATCTTTCAGTTTTCACCGTTACTTTTGCCAAGACAGGAGGTCTTGAGAAACATATTCCACTCAGAAATATCCCTTCGCCTTTCCCTTATTCCACTCAACTGATGATTTCAGCAAGCGAGGGAGATGAGGGTCGTGTCGTCGATGGGATAAAGCGGCTTCTTTCTCTTTTCCTCCTCTCTCTCTCTCTTTATATGAGAGAGTCTCTCTCTGACCAACCACAGATATTACAGCAAAATTCGGGAAAGTAGCATCACAGAGTCTGAGGTAAGCACGGTCCTTCTGTTTCCAGTAAGCAGCGAACATAACTCTCATCGATCTCTAATACCTTCGCTTGTTCTTTCGTTCTGCAAATATTATCTAAATTAGGCTGTAGGGTTTCCATTTCTCGCTGAAAATTGTGATCTCGACTTGGTTGGTTCTACTTCCTTGCCTCTCGTGTTGCTCCCTTGAGCTGATTTTATTATTTGATTTATGAGTGGAGGAATTTATGATGCTTGAATCTCACTTCGTAAATTTATTTAGCGGATTTTTGTTTCAATTTGTTCGAACGGCTTCAATATGATTTGATAGTCTTTATTGATAGTTAGGTTTATGTTTTTAAAAGAAAATTGGTGTATTGTAATCCTCGTCTTTATACTTATTATACTTACTTTTGAAATGCGATCCGTTATTTTATTATAATTTGATTTTATCCTCAATTAAAAACGACAGACTCTTAGTGTTAGAATTTCTGGCCGTCTCGGGTGGAGGGGTGTAAAATGGGGATATACTACTGTTCGTGGTAAATTCATCTGAATGTTGGATGTATTCTTTTGGATTGTCTTTTTGAAGACTTCATAAGTGGTGTGTGGTGTTCTGAAACTGTTTTGCTACATTTATGATTCTAGGGTTTTGTAGGATAATTACTGGAGGTTTAGCTATGAAAAAGGTTTCAAAGACCAGCTGCAAGTCAGCATCACATAGGCTCTTTAAAGACAAGGCGAAGAATCGGGTTGATGATCTGCAATTGATGTTCATAGATCTGCAGTTTGCCAGGAAGGAGAGTCGGACGGTTGATGCTGCTGTTCTTGAGGAGCAGGTCCATCAGATGCTTCGTGAATGGAAGGCTGAGCTTAATGAACCCTCTCCGGCTTCTTCTTTACAGCAAGTAAGCTAATATGTCTTTCAGATACTGTGCGTGTTGGTAGACATACCATTCCATTCACCAGGACACGTGAACCTGAACTGCAATGCTAGTTGGCGATATTTTGATAAAAGGTGGGAAGATGTGAATATGAATTACGATTTTAACATGGCTGTAGGGTGGCAGTCTTGGATCATTTTCGACCGATATCTGCCGATTATTGCAGCTGTGTGAGGAAGAAGATGATGCCACTAGTCCATTAGCTGCTCCGAAACCTGAGCCTAATGATCAGAGTCTGCAAGCTGGGGTTAATATGATATTCCAAGAGGTAAGTGCCTTTTGCTGGACTGATAAACTTCTTTTGCATTTTTTGTTTATGGATTGGCATTAGTTGTTTCAACTAGGATTTTGAAGGTCACTATTTGCAATGATTTCGTTATTGTAATTGCAGATGTGTGTGTGTGTGTGTGTTTTTTTTTTTTTGGCACTTGTGCATATATTAGTTTGATGTGGTGGTAAAATATTCTAAATGCCAAGTTATTTAAGATTCTCATGTTTGCTGTGACAATTGGAAATTCTAGAAGAAATAATATAATTGATAATTTATGGAGTTGACAAAGTTGAAGTTCTGAGATATCGAAAAAGAAAAAGAAAAGAAAAGACATGATATATATATATATATATATAGGTATATAGTTTGTTAATATGAGATGCCTATGAAGATGGAGGTGTCACCTCCGTTCAAGCATCATGAATATCAGTATACCAGCATAGGCATGCAACTGAGGTGTTTATACTGTATATGCTTGGAGGAAGATGGCCATGTTCATTGATGCATATGCATTTTTTTTTTTAACAGTGAAATTTTAAATCTTGGGGGAAGGAATAATGCTGGAACATGGTTGAATGATATTGAAAATATTAGGGCTACCATCCTTACTGTAAAATGGTTATATGGATAATTATTATGTGGGTATATATTAGTAAGTCATGTGTTATTAATACTTTAGGATAAGCTTGGTTAAGTTAGGCTGAACTATTTTGGAATTGCCTGTGTACTTTGTTTAGTTAGAGTTGAGGTGGGAATTATTATGTTTACTCCTAGTTTTTCCTTCTCTCTGAGATCTTCTTTCTCTCTTTCATCCTGAAATCTCTCTCCTTTTTTTTTTAACTGTTGTACTGGTCTTACATGAGCTTGGTGTTAGAGACCCCACATTTAAGCCACTTAGCCTCCATTGATCCCTATTATCAGAAAACTTTGGCATATCACCACAAAAAGTTGTTTGAGAACACCATCTACTGCATGATGCGTGTTTATAGCAGTTTAGGAAACTTGAAGATTCTGGTAGTTTCTCATTGTAAAAAACTGCTGAAGAATGCTGTGCCCCTGCTGGAACTCCTGGAGTTGTGTGTGTCACCCTTAGATCCATCACCTTAAAGCACTGCTTTGAACAATCAAACCTATAATATGATCCAAAAGGAAGGATTGTCATTGGAAGCAGAAGCACTCTCTAATTTTTGGTTGGATGTTAAAACATGCCATGCTCATTTGGTTTCCTTCTATTTACTTCTATCTCACTTTCTTCTTTTGTCCTAGTTTCTCTGGGAATTAGGGGAAAAAATTGCTGTAGCCTGTCAGCTGACAGCTGGAGCACGCAAGCCATTTCTATCATAGTTATTAAATAACAATATGATTCTCAAGTAAGAAGTTTATTTCAGAATTGTGAGATGTATTGGAGCATAAGATATGGTGGCAATAGCGATTGCAAATCTTATGGCAAATACCTATAGAGCAGAACCCAAGTTTTGTTTTTTTGTTATGGATGGCGAAGGACCATCCAGCAGAGGGGACTACTTCAAAGGTGATGCAGTATGGCATCAACTGCAAGGGGAGAGAGCGAAAAACACAAAATTTGAAGATTAGGAAGATTGAGAAAATAAGGAGTAATTGTGGGCTTGATGCGCCAACATGGTGTTGCTTTTTATATTCTACTTCCCCCTCCCCCTTTCTTACATAAAAATGTGGGATGTCAAGATACACCAAAATGAAGTGATCCAAAAACTGTATGGATAAAAATAATAATATAAAAGTTCGGATCCTGCAAACTGCTACTGGTTTGAACTGTTCACCTGCTTCATTACTGGTTTAGCTGTTCAATCTTGATATGTAATTGTGATATAAATGCTTACTTTTTGTTGATTTATCCGTATTAAATACCCATAGTGGACACTTGTTTCATATTTGGCTAAAACATTCAAGTATTCATAAAATGGGTTAGAAAAAGTTTGAAATGATTGTGGCCTGTTTCAAAATATAGTAAATTTCACTTTTCCAAATATGTTGAAATTCTCTAAATGGGCTATAAAGCACATATCAATATTGACATATATTCTTGTAATGCATTGAGCTCAGTCAAATGAATACATCAAGCATATCAACAAATTTTAGTGTAATGTTTTAATTGTAAATATAGACTATATTGCTTTTTCTGAAATTGATTCTACTATTATTTGTTAATTTTTCATTGTAAATAAATTGATGCATATTAATCATACGGTAATTCCCTTACCCTGGTTTGCAAAAGCTTCTATATCCCCGTGCCATATAATTTTGGAGGCAATACACTTGTATCTATGCACTGTATATCCCGATTTTGCTGTCAAATTATAATCTCTGACCAGGGTTTAGAACATTGCATTTTCTATGTATTTTGATAATATCCATTTATGGAACAGGATGTTTGAGTATTTGATAGGTGTTAACAGGTGGCCAAAATAATTTATAATTGCCCCATTTACCATATATGTCAGATGACATTATCTTGATGATTGAATAATGCCTCCTGATGTCGATATGTGGGAGGCTAATTTCTTCTTTTCTTTCTTTCGTCTTTTGAGTGATGTTGTCAATCTGTTGATGTGTGCTTAGAATGTAAGCTTGTTTTCTTTTCAGCAATAACATTTCAATAAGTCCATTTCTGTTCACGTGCATTACCGTTTAGTTCATTATTTCTACACTGATCATACATATAAATACTGATTTTATTGGTTTTACTGTAAACCAGAATCGACAGCAACATGATTTCCCATTGGTTGATGAGACCAAATTCTCCTCTGGAGTTCGCAATGTTGCAGCTAACAATATGGATGGAGGTGCTCTAGAATATCACCAGTTTGACTTGCATCAAGACTTAAATCACAGTTTGTATACTGGTCTTTATGGGTCAGCGTTTGTGAGGAGGATGCCATTCCCCATATGTCCAACTATCTCCCCATCATCTGCCCTCCTCCTTCTGCTTTCTTGGGCCCAAAATGTGCACTTTGGGACTGTCCAAGGCCTGCTCAAGGGCTGGAGTGGTTTCAAGACTATTGCAGTAGCTTTCATGCTACTCTAGCATTGAATGAAGGGCCACCAGGAATGGCCCCGGTTCTACGACCTGGGGGCATTGGTTTGAAGGACAATTTACTCTTTGCTGCTCTTAGTGCAAAGGCACAGGGAAAAGATGTTGGCATCCCTGAATGTGAGGGAGCGGCAACTGCAAAATCTCCATGGAATGCACCTGGTAATTTAACTATTGTTGGTTATTTCCCTCGTTTATGCTTTGTTTTGAAAAGTCACTGATATGGAGGTTGACATTCAGGCCAAATAGAAAGGGCTGACAAGATTTTTCATTTTATATAATCAATTTCTTATTCAACTGCAGAGTTGTTCGATCTTTGTGTTCTTGAGGGTGAGACTATCAGGGAGTGGCTCTTCTTCGATAAGCCTAGAAGAGCGTTTGAGAGTGGAAACAGAAAGCAGAGGTCACTGCCGGATTATAGTGGACGTGGTTGGCACGAATCTAGGAAGCAAGTGATGAATGAATTCACAGGCCTGAAGCGGTCCTATTATATGGATCCGCAACCACTGAACCATTTTGAGTGGCATCTTTATGAGTATGAGATTAGCAAGTGTGATGCATGTGCCTTGTATCGGTTGGAATTAAAGCTTGTTGATGGGAAGAAGAACTCCAAGGTGAAGGTAACTAATGATTCAGTTGCTGATTTGCAGAAGCAGATGGGGAGGCTCTCTGCTGAGTTTCCTCCTGATAACAAACAGTCTGTGAAAGGCAGAGCTAAACTCAATGCCAAGGTTGGTATAGGTGGCATCTACCAGGATCTAACAGAGTTATGCCAGGAAACGGAACATATGAGTATGGTTTGCCTGCACCATATGATTATCTAGTTGAGAATGCTGGTGAATATTACCTGACGTAATTCATCATGGGAAGTTGTACAACATGCTGCAGTCAGCTTGTTTAATATTCAATAAAGGCGTCGCTTGGCCCCTCGACTCTCATTTGATCTACTTGCCTTTTCTTCTTTAGCAACTAGAAGCCAAGGTCATTGTTTTTTTGGCTTGTCAAGATATTGTGAATATCTCACTCTCTCGCTGGAGTGCCTGCGTTAGAGGCTGCTGGATGGTGAATTCTAGCTCTTGAAGATGATCACATCACAGCAAAATTGATGTATGCGGTTATTATGATTAGCAATTGGTGAATGCGAGATAGAATTGAACCAGCATTCACCAAAATGACAAATATGGTATTAAGGCAGAGTCACCATGATACGGAAATTAGCCTGTTACCAAAATTATGCTAATGTAAGTCACTTATGCGGCCCTTTTGAAGCTATTAGCTTCATGATAAACTTTCAAGGGGATGGATGGTACATATTATTGGCAATGTAATAAACGTTTCAGTCCTTTTTTGAGTAATTTTTATGACTCAAGAAGGGAATCTAACTTTCAAAGTTAGAATTAATGCAGTCTAGCTGATGATAATCTCTATTGTCAAGTTTCCTGTTTTATTGTTCGTTGCTTGTAAAATTAACCCGAGCATCTGTTTTTTTTTGGGTATAACTATTTTGAGGGCATGATTGTATAATTGTAGTTGATTTAATTTGAAATTCTACAATAATCCCAGGGAGAAGGGACAGTCACGAATGGCATGCATGACAGTTTCCTCTTGAGTGCCGCACCTCACATATATTGGTTACGGTTAGATATGTCTTCTCTTCCGCTCAGCATTCATAGGTAACCTCTCGGACATGAAGAGCCGGAGGAAGGTTTGGCACATCACCCACCGCCAAGTTCTTGAGAGGGCGCAGTCACCAACCTACCAGTTTTTAGTCCAGAAACTTGGTGGTAGAGCCATCACCATTATCCCATTTAATTCTGAACTTGGTTTCTTTTCACTATTCTTCCACTGCAAATCTGAATTATTTAAATTAAATTTTGATGATACAGATTAATTTTTATGTTTTAAAAATTATTAAATTTAAATCATCAAGTTCATTTAACGGTCCATATTCAGTGGCGGACTTACAGTGGGGGTGGGCATTTGTTTTCCTCAACTTGGGGAAAATTACAAGGAGGCAGGAATTTTAAAAATTTTCCCCCAATGTCTTTGTAATTTTGAATCCATTAGACTTGAACTAAAATGTATTTGAGTTCAAACATATTTGGATCTTTTATATTTCATTAAGCCTAATAGATGTTAATTTTAAATTCATTATATTTAAAATTGGATTACTTTTATAAGAATACAATTTTAATTTTTCTTTTTATATTTTACAACATTAAAGTCAAACTAAATAATAAATAACCCTAATAAAAATGAAATATGAAATTTTAAAGCATACAAAAACTAAAAGAAGATCAAAAGACAAGAATAGAAAAATTCTTTGCTAGAGAACAAGTCTAAGACGAGAGACAAGGTGGATGGCACGAAAATGTGATAATAAGTGTAAGAAATTGATTAAAGCTAATAATGATATTGCCTGTTGTCATAGTAATTGTAGAAGAGCTTTTTCTACCATGAAGTTTGTGAAAAATTAGTTGTATAATTAAATGGAAACTTAGGGTTTAACAACATTGATAATGGACCTAATTATTCAATGATTTCAAAACATGAAGCCACGTAAAGAATATTTATAAGGTATGTAAATATTTATTTTATATATTAAATTTTTAAATTTTAATTATTTTTACATTTTATATAATTTATACCCCCCACTAACTCAGGGTCCGCGTTCGCCATTGTCCATATTTGTAGTGTTTCATCTACTGCAATGAAGGAAAGTTAACTCCTTTAATTCCTATCTGATTGTCTTCCCAAACTATAGACATGCTCCTCCATAAGTGTGATCCTCGGCCTAGATCCTCTCATTTTCTCCTCTCTCTTTTTCTTCTCCTCATCCTATCCCCACACTTGAATAAAATAATAGAATAAATGGTTCAAATTTAACTGTTTTATAAAATAATTATCATAATATCATATACAAATAAATAAATTTAAATTATTAAAATTTGATCTGCACAATCCACAAATTGTATGCCATTACTAAATTTTTTTATAAATTAATATTTTTTTATTTATTTTATCAGTTATAAAATGTGTAGGTCAAATTTTAACAGTTTAAAATTGTCTATCTATTTTTTAATATATGATATGACAATTATTTTGTCAGACAATTAAATCTGAAACCATTCATTCCTATTCTGATGCTGGAAACAAGAATTGGAGAAAAAAAGATTAGAGCCGGTAATTCGGGCGGGCCGGGCTTATTAGGATCGGGCTTAAAGCATCCTACCCCTTCTAAAAAACCCAAATAGCCAAGCCCGACCCTAACACCTTCGGGTTTCGGGCTTATTTGGGCTGGCCCGGAATACCCGAAACTTTTTAAAAATATTTTTTCTGTATTTTTTGAACCAATTTTAATTTTTAAATAATTCTATTATATCGTAAAATATTATCTTAATTTAAAAGAATAAAATAAAAAATAATTTATCAACTTTGTATTTAAGTAGCTCTGTTATTATTTTGTTGTATTATGTATAATTTATTCATGAATGTTTCCGTTACTTGTAAATTAATGTCTTAATTGTTTAAATATGCTCTTTCTCATAGTCATATATAAATATTTTATATATTTTAATTAAATTATATTATTTTAATTATGATTAAGCTGATCCCAATTCAATCATAGTAGACTACTAACTTAAAATTATTATTTCGATTAGTTCAAAGTTTTAAATAACTTTTAGGTAAATTATACTTTTCATTTTTATGATATAAAAAAATTGCCATCATTATATTATAAAAAAATTTATTTAATTCTGAGTAAAATATAATTTTTTGAAATCATTTTTCTTTAACTTTTTATATTGTTTAACTCTTATATAAAAGATTCTTACTCTAGTTTACTCTTAATTTTAACCAAATCTAGCATGGACAATAATCAAGTAATTATTCAAGAATATTATT